ATGCGTAAAATAAAAGTATACAGAAAAAAAATTGCATAGTGTGGCTTTAGTTATACTCACACCCTTGTAAACGTAGCGAGCTGGCTAAATAGCGCAGCCAACATTAACTATGATCCAACGTTACCTCGCAAGTCATTATCGCACTTGCCATCTATCCAGCCAGCCGTGCCAGCCAGTCGATCCAATGAGTCATCTCGTTGTATCCTCATGATCTAACAGTTCACTATCCACTGTATCCAAGTTCAAAAGACAGTTCCTCATGATGGAGTAGACGGGAACAAGTCAGGGAGTTCTTTCCTCATGTATGTTTCAGCCGTCTTCACAAGTCAAACTTGCGCTCACCATTCTTGGTTTCCATCCAGAAAGTCGCCGGTTAGCGCAGGCCGTATGCCAAGCCTCCTCTTGTGTGGTATGGGAGAAAGATCCGGAAAGATCATGATTCTGGCATCTCCGTACTTGAGCTCTCCCTTTGCTCGGGCAGCAGAGAGGATGCGGACAGAGTCCTGGTACCGTAGAAATGTAATGACAAATGCCCTGGGTGCAACCTGGCCAGGCAGCCGCCTCCGTAGCGTGCGATGGGCCCTTTCGATTTCCAGTGGGTGCACATCATTTTTGATGAGGCGTTCTGAAAGTGTCTCTTGGATTTCTGTTATACCCTTGTCCATCTCCATTCTGAACCATGCTGGTGCTTCTTCCGAGCTAGCATCCGCCGAGGCCGAAGACGGGCTGTCAGAGGGGGGCACTTTTCCATGCCTCGTCTGAGGCTTTGCAAGATTGGGCATCTTTTGTTTTGGCGATAAAATAGTTGTTTTAACTTCCAACTCACTATTAACGAACAGGCAAACCGTGTCAAAATGCCTTTACAAATTGCTAGTTAGAGGACGCAACGCAGACTCGTCTTCTTAGAGCTTCGACATTGCCGGAAGTCCTCATCGTAGCTCTTTTTAATCGTGGCCATCAAAACTGTTAACACACGATTGCATTTAGAATTGTTGTGCAATTGGGCTTATAAAAGCATGTTTCACTCCGGCAGCAACAATGAGCTGTTTGAGAAGCCGTAGCAGCAGCTTTCGCTCCATCTTGACAGATTTCCGCTCATCATGCTGTGATGAATATGATACATAACGATTTACGAAGCTCCAATTTAATTCCACTAAAGTATGCAAATGAACCTATAGACCAATAAGCATGTATTTCCATCAATGAATAGGCAAAAAAAAAGCATAATTTTGCAATGGGATTTTTTTTCTTGTCCCGGGCAATTGGACGGTGTCAATTTTATTCATCAGCTTTTCATTTCATTTTTTGGGCCAAAAGCCAGCTATTACTGGCTATCAGAAACCCTGAGACAGACATATTAACATGTAGAGATTATCAGACAGACATATTAACATGTCGAGATTATCAGACAGACATATTAACATGTCGAGATTATCAGACAGACATATTAACATGTAGAGATTATCAGACAGACATATTAACATGTCGAGATTATCAGACAGACATATTAACATGTCGGGATTATCAGACAGACATATTAACATGTCGAGATTATCAGACAGACATATTAACATGTCGGGATTATCAGACAGACATATTAACATGTCGGGATTATCAGACAGACATATTAACATGTCGGGATTATCAGACAGACATATTAACATGTCGAGATTATCAGACAGACATATTAACATGTCGAGATTATCAGACAGACATATTAACATGTCGAGATTATCAGACAGACATATTAACATGTCGAGATTATCAGACAGACATATTAACATGTCGAGATTATCAGACAGACATATTAACATGTCGAGATTATCAGACAGACATATTAACATGTCGAGATTATCAGACAGACATATTAACATGTCGAGATTATCAGACAGACATGTTAACATGTCGAGATTATCAGACAGACATTAACATGTCGAGATTATCAGACAGACATATTAACATGTCGAGATTATCAGACAGACATATTAACATGTCGAGATTATCAGACAGACATATTAACATGTCGAGATTATCAGACAGACATATTAACATGTCGAGATTATCAGACAGACATATTAACATGTCGAGATTATCAGACAGACATATTAACATGTAGAGATTATCAGACAGACATATTAACATGTAGGGATTATCAGACAGACATATTAACATGTCGAGATTATCAGACAGACATATTAACATGTCGAGATTATCAGACAGACATATTAACATGTCGAGATTATCAGACAGACATGTTAACATGTCGAGATTATCAGACAGACATATTAACATGTCGAGATTATCAGACAGACATGTTAACATGTCGAGATTATCAGACAGACATATTAACATGTCGAGATTATCAGACAGACATATTAACATGTAGGGATTATCAGACAGACATATTAACATGTAGGGATTATCAGACAGACATATTAACATGTCGAGATTATCAGACAGACATTAACATGTCGAGATTATCAGACAGACATATTAACATGTCGAGATTATCAGACAGACATATTAACATGTCGAGATTATCAGACAGACATATTAACATGTCGAGATTATCAGACAGACATATTAACATGTCGAGATTATCAGACAGACATGTTAACATGTAGGGATTATCAGACAGACATGTTAACATGTAGGGATTATCAGACAGACATATTAACATGTCGAGATTATCAGACAGACATGTTAACATGTAGGGATTATCAGACAGACATTAACATGTCGAGATTATCAGACAAACATATTAACATGTCGAGATTATCAGACAGACATGTTAACATGTCGAGATTATCAGACAGACATATTAACATGTCGAGATTATCAGACAGACATATTAACATGTCGAGATTATCAGACAGACATATTAACATGTCGAGATTATCAGACAGACATATTAACATGTCGAGATTATCAGACAGACATATTAACATGTCGAGATTATCAGACAGACATATTAACATGTCGAGATTATCAGACAGACATATTAACATGTCGAGATTATCAGACAGACATATTAACATGTCGAGATTATCAGACAGACATATTAACATGTCGAGATTATCAGACAGACATGTTAACATGTAGAGATTATCAGACAGACATATTAACATGTAGAGATTATCAGACAGACATGTTAACATGTCGAGATTATCAGACAGACATGTTAACATGTCGAGATTATCAGACAGACATATTAACATGTCGAGATTATCAGACAGACATATTAACATGTCGAGATTATCAGACAGACATGTTAACATGTAGAGATTATCAGACAGACATATTAACATGTCGAGATTATCAGACAGACATATTAACATGTCGAGATTATCAGACAGACATGTTAACATGTCGAGATTTTCAGACAGACATATTAACATGTAGAGATTATCAGACAGACATATTAACATGTAGAGATTATCAGACAGACATTAACATGTCGAGATTATCAGACAGACATATTAACATGTCGAGATTATCAGACAGACATATTAACATGTCGAGATTATCAGACAGACATATTAACATGTCGAGATTATCAGACAGACATATTAACATGTCGAGATTATCAGACAGACATGTTAACATGTAGGGATTATCAGACAGACATGTTAACATGTAGGGATTATCAGACAGACATATTAACATGTCGAGATTATCAGACAGACATATTAACATGTCGAGATTATCAGACAGACATGTTAACATGTCGAGATTTTCAGACAGACATATTAACATGTAGAGATTATCAGACAGACATATTAACATGTAGAGATTATCAGACAGACATATTAACATGTCGAGATTATCAGACAGACATATTAACATGTCGAGATTATCAGACAGACATATTAACATGTCAGATTTATCAGACAGACATATTAACATGTCGAGATATCAGACAGACATATTAACATGTCGAGATTATCAGACAGACATATTAACATGTCGAGATTATCAGACGACATATTAACATGTCCGAGATTATCAACAGACATATTAACATGTCGAGATTATCAGACAGACATATTAACATGTCGAGATTAATCAGACAGACCATATTACATGTCGATAGATTTATGCAGACAGACATCATTTAACATGTAGAGATTATCAGACAGACATATTAACATGTCGAGATTATCAGACAGACATGTTAACATGTCGAGATTGATCAATGACAGACATATTTAACATGTCGAGATTATCAGACCAGACTATTAACATGTCGAGATTATCAACAGACATTTAACATGTCGAGATTATCAGACAGACATATTAACATGTCGAGATTATCAGAACAGACATATTAACATGTCGAGATTATCAGACAGACATGTTAACATGTCGAGATTTCAGACAGACATATTACATGTAGAGATTATCAGACAGACTATTAACATGTAGAGATTATCAGACAGACATATTAACATGTCGAGATTATCAGACAGACATGTTAACATGTCGAGATTATCAGACAGACATGTTACATGTCGAGATTATCAGACAGACATATTAACATGTCGAGATTATCAGACAGACATTTAACAGGTAGAGATTATCAGATTTATCAGACAGACATATAACCATGTCCGAATATCATACAGACATATTAACATGTCGAGATTATCAGACAGACATATTAACATGTAGAGATTATCAGGACAGACATATTAAATTGTAGAGATATCAGACCAGAAATGTTACATGTTAGAGATTATCAGAAGGACATGAACATGTAGAGGTTTATCAGACGACAGAAATTAACTGAGGGATTATCAGACAAGACATGTTAAAATGTAGAGATTATCAGACAGACAGACATTAACATGTAGGGATTATCAGACAGACATGTTAACATGTAGAGATTATCAGACAGACAGACATTAACATGTAGGGATTATCAGACAGACAGGCAGACATATTAACATGTAACCACACCAAGTCTAGTCTTGCCCTCTTCTCCTCACCCTGATCAGCACCACATCAGCTGCCTCTATGGCCACGTCAGTGCCCGTTCCTATGGCGATGCCAACATCTGCCATGGCCAGAGCGGGCGAGTCGTTGACCCCGTCACCCACCATGGCCACCCTCTTCCCTGCCTGCTGCAGCTGCTCTACCATGGCAACCTTGTGGGATGGCAGCACCTCCGCAAACACCTTCCTGATACCCACCTGGAGGAGAGACAGAGACAGCTAAATTACAGTTCACAAAGCCACTATAAAACTACATGTGGGTTCTTTAGCAGACGCTCTTATCCAGAGTGACTTACAAAACGACATTCCTTTTCATCTGCAAATAATGTTCTGGTTCAGTGCATTCATTCATCAAAATCCCAAGCCATTATATTTGCATGTAGTAGTCTATGTAGTCTCCTAAACACAGCTCTTTGATGGCTTGAATAACCTGAGTTGGGAAGATGAAATGTGTACATGGATCCCCAGACCTTATGAAGACCACCTAGCCAATCCAGTCCTGTCCCGTACCTGAGCAGCGATGGCCTGTGCCGTCCTGCTGTTGTCTCCAGTCATCAGAATCACTTCCAGACCCATGGCCTGCAGGGTGTGAACCACCAACTCTGCCTCTGGCTTCACTGTGTCTGCTATGGCTATCATCGCACAAAGCAGACCTACACAGAGAGAGAAGGAGAGGGTGACAGAGGGAGAGAGACAGAGGGAGAGAGACAGAGGGAGAGACAGACAGAGAGACAGAGGTAGAGAGCAGGAGAGACAGAGGGAGAGAGAGGGAGAGACAGGGGTGGTGGTGAGAGAGAGAGGGGTGGTGAGAGAGAGAGAGGGGTGGTGAGAGAGAGGGGGTGGAGAGAGAGAGACAGAGGGAGAGGGTGGTGAGAGATGAGAGAGAAAGAGATGGTGGTGAGAGAGAGCGAGGGTGGTGAGAGAAAGGGTGGTGAGAGACAGAGATAGAGAGAGGGTGGTGAGAGAGGGTGGTGAGAGAGAGACAGAGGGTGGTGAGAGAGCGGGAGAGGGTAGTGAGAGAAAGAGAGAGAGAGAGAGAGAGAGAGTGGTAGGAGAGAGAGAGTGGGTGGTGAGAGAGAGAGAGAGTGGTGGTGAGAGAGAGGGGGTGGAGAGAGAGAGACAGAGGGAGAGGGTGGTGAGAGACAGACAGAGAGAGACAGAGTGGTGAGAGATGAGAGAGATAGAGAAAGAGAGGGTGGTGAGAGAGAGCGAGGGTGGTGAGAGAAAGGGTGGTGAGAGAGAGAGAGAGAGAGGTGGGGGTGAGAGGAGAGAGAAAGAGAGAGAGAAAGGGAGAGGGTGGTGGAGTGGAGAGAGAGAGAGAGACGAGAGAGGGTGGTGAGAGAGAGACAGGGGTGGAGGAGAGCGGGAGAGGGTAGTGTCGTGAGAGAAGGAGAGTGGTAGGCGAGAGAGACGTGGGTGGTGAGAGAGGGTAGTGAGAGAGATAGTGGTAGGAGAGAGGGGGAGGTGAGAGACAGAAGGAGAGGGTGGTGAGAGAGAGAGGGTGGTGAGAGAGATTGAGAGAGGAGAGAGAGAGAGAGAGAGAGAGAGGAAGAGGGTGGTGAGAGAGAGATAGAGGGAGGTGAGAGAGAGAGTGGTTAGAGAGAGAGAGAGGGAGAGGGTGGTGAGAGAGAGAGAGAGACAAAATCATCCTCAGTGTACAACGTAAAACACCAAATAATGCACGCAGAGCAGAATTAGGCCGATCACCGCTAATTATCAAAATCCAGAAAACAGCTGTTAAATTCTATAACCACCTAAAAGGAAGCGATTCCCAAACCTTTCATAACAAAGCCATCACCTACAGAGAGATGAACTTGGAGAAGAGTCCCCTAAGCAAGCTGGTCCTGGGGCTCTCTTCACAAACACAAACAGAGCCCACAGAGCCCCAGGACAACAACACAATTAGACCCAACCAAATCATGAGAAAACAAAAATATAATTACTTGACACATTGGAAAGAACAAACAAAAAAACAGAGCAAACTAGAATGCTATTTGGCCCTAAACAGAGAGTACACAGTGGCAGAATAACTGACCACTGTGACTAACCCAAACTTAAGGAAAGCTTTGATTATGTACAGACTCAGTGAGCATAGCCTTGCTATTGAGAAAGGCCGACGTAGGCAGACCTGGCTCTGAAGAGAAGACAGGCTATGTGCACACTGCCCACAAAATGAGGTGGAAACTGAGTTGCACTTCCTAACCTCCTGCCAAATGTATGACCATATTAGAGACACATATTTCCCTCAGATTACAGCGATCCACAAAGAATTAGACCTGTTGCCACAAGAAAAGGGCAACCAGTGAAGAACAAACACCATTGTAAATACAACCCATATTTATGTTTATTTATTTTCCCATTTGTACTTTAACTATTTGCACATCTACTTCACTTGCTTTGGCAATGTTAACACACGTTTCCCATGCCAATAAAGCCCTTAAATTACATTAAATTGAGAGAGAGAGGTTATAGACTCAGCAACACAATGGATTAAATGGCTATGCTCCAATATCCATACTAGCATTCCATGTAGAATGAAGCAGTATATTGGGAATACATTCTAAGTGTTATGCTAGTGTTGATATTAGAAGGCTACTCAGAGCTATTAGCATTTTTTTAATACCCATCCAATCTTTTTAGATGTAGAAGTGCCTCGGGGTCATGGATAATAGAAAATTGGGAGCCACTGTCAGAGTACTTATTGTGCATCCCACACACACACACACACACACACACACACACACACAACTCACCGTCGACAGCCACCAGTACAGCAGTGCGTCCCCTGCGTTCATGTTCAGTCATGGTCTCGTCTACATCAGGTCTGATCTGGAGTCCGTTCCTCCTCATCCACTCCCTGTTCCCTATCAACACCACATAGGACGCTGTCTGTACCAGGGCTATAGAGGAACAGACAGAGAGGTTACTGGTTCCCTATCAACACCACATAGGACGCTATAGCCCTGGTGCAGACAGAGGAACAGACAGAGAGGTTACTGGTTCCCCATCAACACCACATAGGACGCTATAGCCCTGGTGCAGACAGAGGAACAGACAGAGAGGTTACTGGTTCCCCATCAACACCACATAGGACGCTATAGCCCTGGTGCAGACAGAGGAACAGACAGAGAGGTTACTGGTTCCCCATCAACACCACATAGGACGCTATAGCCCTGGTGCAGACAGAGGAACAGACAGAGAGGTTCCTGGTTCCCCATCAACACCACATAGGACGCTATAGCCCTGGTGCAGACAGAGGAACAGACAGAGAGGTTCCTGGTTCCCCATCAACACCACATAGGACGCTATAGCCCTGGTGCAGACAGAGGAACAGACAGAGAGGTTACTGGTTCCCCATCAACACCACATAGGACGCTGTCTGCACCAGGGCTATTTAGGAACAGAGGGGAATAGGGGTTAGACTAGAACGTAGCCTAGAATGTAGGCAGAATGTATAGCATGCATTTGATGGATGCAGTGGAAACACTGGGGAATCTTTAGGCCTTACGTTGAATAATAATTGACAATAAGGGGTAACTCAGGGTTGTGTTTTCATTCCACTTCAAAAATTAATAATAAAGGCCCTCCGAGCGGCGCAGCGGTCTAAGGCACTGCATCGCAGTGCTTGAGGCGTCACTACAGACCCGGGTTCGATCCCGGGCTGTGTGGCGACCGGGAGACCCATGAGGCGGCGCACAATTGGCCCAGCGTCGTCCGGGTTAGGGGAGGGTTTGGCCGGCTGGGATGTCCTTGTCCCATCGCGCTCTAGCGACTCCTGTGGCGGGCCGGGCACATGCACGCTGACACGGTCGCCAGTTGTACGGTGTTTCCTCCGACACATTGGTGCGGCTGACTTCCGGGTTAAGCGAGCAGTGTGTCAAGAAGCAGTGCGGCTTGGCAGAATCGTGTTTCGGAGGACGCATGGCTCTCGACCTTCGCATCTCCTGAGTCCATACGAGAGTTACAGCGATGGGACAAGACCGTAACTACCAATTGGGGAGAAAAAGGGGTAAAAATAAATACATTAAAATAGTAAAATAGCTGCCCTATTTTAGACCACTTATCCAAGTACGTACTGAGAGGCTGGGGGTCCATGATGAGTGGGTGTGAGCCTGGCCTGGTCCTGGAGTCACTGATCTGGACCAGAATACTGTTTCTCTGGTTGTTGTCGTCACTGTCCTCATGATGATGTCTCAGCAGGGTCTCGGTGTTACTGACCTGGCATCGTATACCACAGCCTGGTACTGCCTGGAAGTCAGTACACCCACCCAGGGACTCTGTACCCAGCTCCTGAGACCGAGAGACAGATTAGTACACTTTATCTGGACCCACAATGACATACAGGGCCAAAAATATTCTGGAGGTCATCCAGACACTGGGAATGATCAACTCACAAAGACTCACAACCAGTCTCCTCCCTGTCAGCTTTAGGACTGAGGTTCAGCTGGACTCACCTGTTTACAGTACTTGGTGATGGAATCAGACTCACCTGTTTACAGTACTAGGTGATGGAATCAGACTCACCCGTTTACAGTACTAGGTGATGGAATCAGACTCACCTCTTTACAGTACTAGGTGATGGAATCAGACTCACCTGTTTACAGTACTAGGTGATGGAATCAGACTCACCTGTTTACAGTACTTGGTGATGGAATTAGACTCACCTGTTTACAGTACTAGGTGATGGAATCAGACTCACCTGTTTACAGTACTTGGTGATGGAATCAGACTCACCTGTTTACAGTACTAGGTGATGGAATCAGACTCACCTCTTTACAGTACTTGGTGATGGAATCAGACTCACCTGTTTACAGTACTTGGTGATGGAATCAGACTCACCTGTTTACAGTACTTGGTGATGGAATCAGACTCACCTGTTTACAGTACTTGGTGATGGAATCAGACTCACCTGTTTACAGTACTAGGTGATGGAATCAGACTCACCTGTTTACAGTACTTGGTGATGGAATCAGACTCACCTGTTTACAGTACTAGGTGATGGAATCAGACTCACCTCTTTACAGTACTTGGTGATGGAATCAGACTCACCTGTTTACAGTACTTGGTGATGGAATCAGACTCACCTGTTTACAGTACTAGATGATGGAATCAGACTCACCCGTTTACAGTACTAGGTGATGGAATCAGACTCACCTGTTTACAGTACTAGGTGATGGATCAGACTCACCTGTTTACAGTACTTGGTGATGGAATCAGACTCACCTGTTTACAGTACTAGGTGATGGAATCAGACTCACCTGTTTACAGTACTTGGTGATGGAATCAGACTCACCTGTTTACAGTACTTGGTGATGGAATCAGACTCACCTGTTTACAGTACTAGGTGATGGAATCAGACTCACCTGTTTACAGTACTTGGTGATGGAATCAGACTCACCTCTTTACAGTACTAGGTGATGGAATCAGACTCACCTGTTTACAGTACTAGGTGATGGAATCAGACTCACCTGTTTACAGTACTTGGTGATGGAATCAGACTCACCTGTTTACAGTACTTGGTGATGGAATCAGACTCACCTGTTTACAGTACTTGGTGATAGCAGCTCCCAGTGGGTGTTCACTGTTGTTCTCTGCAGTCCCTACAATGGCCAGCAGGCGGGAGCGAGGCATCCTGTTCCCCTCCACTAAAATCTTCAGCTGGATAACTTTAGGAGCTCCGTAGGTGATGGTCCCAGTCTTATCAAACACCACTGTCTGGATCTGCAAAATTAGACCGTTTTTGTAACAAGTTAGGAATAAGGGAAGCAATTGTATAGCTATTCTCAGACAATCTAATAACATACACCAAGTTACTGCAACAGTCACAGTTAATCAGATTCTGACTACAAACATGAGGCATAACATATCAAACGTTACTAATGATTTTTACTATCAATATGATATAATTAGTGACCGACTATTGATTGGTTGATAGAATCTTCTTCACACTCACCTTGTGTGCCATCTCTAGTGGTTCCCCTCCCTTGATGAGGATGCCGTTCTGAGCGCCCACCCCCGTGCCCACCATCACTGCTGTCGGGGTCGCCAGGCCCAGAGAGCAGGGGCAGGCGATACACAGCACTGTGATGGAGGCCTGGAAGGCAAACCTGATCACGGCTTCTGCCTTGGAGATGCTCTGATCATAGCCCTGTAGAGGGAGACAGAGAGACAGTGAAACAGGGGAACAGTCTGGGTTACCTTTCAATCGACTAACATTGATTTCCTCTCCTTGCTTCCTTCCCTTGATCAGTCTCCACTGTTTAAACAGGGAGTGGACAGGTGACCGCAGATTCCCCACTTGATCAGTCTCCACTGTTTAAACAGGGAGTGGACAGGTGACAGCAGATTCCCCACTTGATCAGTCTCCACTGTTTAAACAGGGAGTGGACAGGTGACCGCAGATTTCCCACTTGATCAGTCTCCACTGTTTAAACAGGGAGTGGACAGGTGACAGCAGATTCCCCACTTGATCAGTCTCCACTGTTTAAACACGGAGTGGACAGCTGACAGCAGATTCCCCACTTGATCAGTCTCCACTGTTTAAACAGGGAGTGGACAGGTGACAGCAGATTCCCCACTTGATCAGTCTCCACTGTTTAAACAGGGAGTGGACAGGTGACCGCAGATTCCCCACTTGATCAGTCTCCACTGTTTAAACAGGGAGTGGACAGGTGACAGCAGATTCCCCACTTGATCAGTCTCCACTGTTTAAACACGGAGTGGACAGCTGACAGCAGATTCCCCACTTGATCAGTCTCCACTGTTTAAACAGGGAGTGGACAGGTGACAGCAGATTCCCCATACTGCTCTCACAAAGAGGAGACAGGATGTAAATACAGGTATTTAAGTGGAATGATTTAGCTAAATACACCCTCAGTAAAGGTTTTATATAGATATCAGTCTAGTAAAGGTTTTATATAGATATCAGTATAGTAAAGGTTTTATATAGATATCAGTCTAGTAAAGGTTTTATATAGATATCAGTATAGTAAAGGTTTTATATAGATAACAGTATAGTAAAGGTTTTATATAGATATCAGTATAGTAAAGGTTTTATATAGATATCAGTCTAGTAAAGGTTTTACATAGATATCAGTATAGTAAAGGTTTTATATAGATATCAGTATAGTCAAGGTTTTATATAGATATCAGTATAGTCAAGGTTTTATATAGATATCAGTATAGTAAAGGTTTTATATAGATATCAGTATAGTAAAGGTTTTATATAGATATCAGTATAGTAAAGGTTTTATATAGATATCAGCATAGTAAAGGTTTTATATAGATATCAGTATAGTAAAGGTTTTATATAGATATCAGTATAGTAAAGGTTTTATATAGATATCAGTATAGTAAAGGTTTTATATAGATATCAGTATAGTAAAGGTTTTATATAGATATCAGTATAGTAAAGGTTTTATATAGATATCAGTATAGTAAAGGTTTTACATATATATCAGCATAGTAAAGGTTTTATATAGATATCAGCATAGTAAAGGTTTTATATAGATATCAGTATAGTAAAGGTTTTATATAGATATCAGTATAGTAAAGGTTTTATATATATATCAGTATAGTAAAGGATTTATACAGATATCAGTATAGTAAAGGTTTTATACAGATATCAGTATAGTAAAGGTTTTACATATATATCAGTATAGTAAAGGATTTATACAGATATCAGTATAGTAAAGGTTTTATATAGATATCAGTATAGTAAAGGTTTTATATAGATATCAGTATAGTAAAGGTTTTATATAGATATCAGCATAGTAAAGGTTTTATATAGATATCAGCATAGTAAAGGTTTTATATAGATATCAGTATAGTAAAGGTTTTATATAGATATCAGTATAGTAAAGGATTTATACAGATATCAGTATAGTAAAGGTTTTATATAGATATCCGTATAGTAAAGGTTTTATATAGATATCAGTATAGTAAAGGATTTATACAGATATCAGCATAGTAAAGGTTTTATATAGATATCAGCATAGTAAAGGTTTTATATAGATATCAGTATAGTAAAGGTTTTATATAGATATCAGTATAGTAAAGGTTTTATATAGATATCAGTATAGTAAAGGTTTTATATAGATATCAGTATAGTAAAGGTTTTATATAGATATCAGTATAGTAAAGGTTTTATATAGATATACAGGTATAGTAAAGGTTTTATATAGATATCAGTATAGTAAAGGTTTATATAGATATCAGTATAGTAAAGGTTTTATATAGATATAGTTTTATACGTAAAGGTTTTATATAGATATCAGTATAGTAAAGGTTTATAATAAAACAGTATAGTAAAGGTTTACATAGATATCAGTATAGTAAAGGTTTTATATAGATATCGTCAGTAAAGGTTTTATATAGATATCAGCATAGTAAAGGTTATATAGATATCAGTATAGTAAAGGTTTTTATAGATATCAGTATAGAAAAGGTTTTATATAGATATCGTCTAGAAAAGGTTTTATACAGATATCAGCTTTAAAAAGGTTTTTATATAATATCGTATATAAAGGTTTATATAATTTTTAAGAAAAGGTTTATATAAATCTTTAAGTAAATTTTTATAAAATACGTATAGAAAAGGGTTTTTATATAGATATCATATAGTCAAGGTTTTAATAGATATCGTATGTAAATATCAGTATAGTAAAGGTTTTATATAGATATCAGTATAGTAAAGGTTTTATATAGATATCAGTATAGTCAAGGTTTTATATAGATATCAGTATAGTCAAGGTTTTATATAGATATCAGTATAGTAAAGGTTTTATATAGATATCAGTATAGTCAAGGTTTTATATAGATATCAGTATAGTCAAGGTTTTATATAGATATCAGTATAGTAAAGGTTTTATATAGATATCAGTATAGTAAAGGTTTTATATAGATATCAGTATAGTAAAGGTTTTATATAGATATCAGTATAGTAAAGGCTACTCACAGGGAAATATTTCTCCACGAGTGGAAAGTCGACAAAGCCAATGAGGATCCAGGCGAACAGAGTGAGGAGAGAGATACCAACGATGAACGGGACAAAGTAACCACTGATCTTATCTGCAAACTGCTGTATGGGAGCCTGCAGCGGAACGGTCAGAGGTGACAGAGGTCAAAGGTTAAAGCGTAGGTCCGAGGTCACAGAGGTGAAGCTCTTCCTGCTCAGAACCAGTTAAAAATGTATTCTGAGACAAATCCTCCATCATGTGTTGACCAAGGTCAGTTCTGTAAACAGCAAATACTGACAAATATCTACATATCTTATCCAACTAAAACTCCAGGACACAGGAGATAATTTACCCAAAAGCTAACATATTATCCCCACCCCCCTCACCTTAGATGTCTGAGCCTCCTCCACTAGTTTGACTATCTGAGACAGGGTTGTGTCCAGGCCTACGTGTGTAGCAGTGATGAGTAGAGAGCCGTTCTGGTTGATAGAGCCAGCTATCACTGAGCTGCCTGGCTTCTTAGTCACTGGCATGGCCTCACCTGGGACACAAAACACGTCCGAGATGAGACACTAGCCAGGAACACAACCTAAATAGTGCCGTTCCACAGAGAAATATTAACCGTGCTTGGAGAAACAGTCATTTCAAAGTAGTGTTAAGGAAACAAGGAAAGGAAGCTTCAGAAGCTTCAGACTTGAGATGCATCTTCTCCAGCATCCTCAGAGTTGATCCTCCACTGTAACCCACCTGTGATGAGAGACTCGTCAGCCATGCTGTGTCCCTCGATGACCCTCCCATCTACGGGGAACTTCCCTCCGGGAACCACCCTGACCACGTCTCCTCTCTGGACCAGCTCCACATCTACCTGCTCCTCACTGACATGGACAGAGAGATACGCATGTAGTCTGATTTATAATACACTGACTTGGACAGAGAGATACGCATGTAGTCTGATTTATAATACACTGACTTGGACAGAGAGATACGCATGTAGTCTGATTTATAATACCCTGACATGGACAGAGAGATACGCCTGTAGTCTGATTTATAATACACTGACATGGACAGAGAGATACGCCTGTAGTCTGATTTATAATACACTGACATGGACAGAGAGATACGCCTGTAGTCTGATTTATAATACACTGACATGGACAGAGAGATACGCCTGTAGTCTGATTTATAATACACTGACATGGACAGAGAGATACGCCTGTAGTCTGATTTATAATACACTGACTTGACAGAGACGCCTGTAGTCTGATTTATAATACACTGCTTGGACAGAGAGATACGCCTATGTAGTCTGATTTATAATACACTGACTTGGACAGAGAGATACGCCTGTAGTCTGATTTATAATACACTGACTTGGACAGAGAGATACGCATGTAGTCTGATTTATAATACCCTGACATGGACAGAGAGATACGCCTGTAGTCTGATTTATAATACCCTGACATGGACAGAGAGATACGCCTGTAGTCTGATTTATAATACACTGACTTGGACAGAGAGATACGCCTGTAGTCTGATTTATAATACAGTGGACATATGCCATATGCAAGTCTCAAAGGGTTTCAATGTTCAATGTCAGCCTGCGGTCAGTTCGGATTTAACATTGAAATGAAACTTAAAACACTTGAAATAGTGTCAAATATCTCCAGCCTGCCTTATCCAACTCCTAATCTCAGTGCCAGAAACTGTTTCGGTTAAGAGCAAAAAACACCCAGGTTTTCCAATTCCAGGTCTAGAAACAGGAGATCTTCAGTGAAGTACCTGAGGACAGACATGTCCGTGTTGAGAGTGACCACAGTCGCCTCGCTGGCCTGGAGGGACATCAGCTTAGACAGAGCTTCTGACGTCTTACTCTGGAGGGGAGACGGAGCAGGTCAGGAGTGTACGGCTGCAATAGCTATACACAAGCATACTTTAGCGATGACACAAACGGATAACTTATCATTAAAAGAGACGTACTCTAGCTACAGAAATAGCACCATGCTTTGGTGCTACTGCTGTACGGGGGAGGGGGCCTGGACCGAGTTTGGGAAGTTGTAGAAGATACATAGGTCCAATACCTTGGCGATCTGCTCCAGCCAGCGTCCCAGGGAGATGAAGACAAACAGCATGGGGGGCGTGTCAAAGAAGGTGATGGGGTTGACCTTTGCCCTCTCTATCATGGCGACCATGAGGATGACCACGGAGTAGGTGAAGGCTATGGAAGTGGCCAGCACGATGAGCACGTCCATGTTGGCTGTTCTGTGTTTCAGGGCCTTGTAGGCCTGGGTGTAGAAGTAACGCCCGCCAATAAACTAAAGAGAGGAATGGGACAAGAGTAAATGTTAGATCAGGAAAAATATTCATTTCAGGTTTGATTAGAAAATGGCTTTCACACTTGGGTCAAAAATTGTGATTATTATCTAAGTAAATATTGTGTTACTTAGAAAGATAAGTCTTGTTTTAAATCAGGGGCTTATTCAGTCTGATATGATCTATTCTGTTCAATAGTCTTGTTTGTTCTACATCATATATTTTTATCTGAATGTTCTATAACCTTGCACTCTTCTGCATACGTCCCAAGTGTCTGCTTTCACCCTCCCTCCCTCCCTCCCTCCCTCCCGTCCGTCCGTCTATATCTCCCTCCCTGTCTGTCTGTCTGTCTGGCTGTCTGTCTGTCTATATCTCCCTGCCTCTGTCTATACAGTGGGGAAAAAAAGTATTTAGTCAGCCACCAATTGTGCAAGTTCTCCCACTTAAAAAGATGAGAGAGGCCTGTAATTTTCATCATAAGTACACGTCAACTATGACAGACAAATTGAGATTTTTTTTCTCCAGAAAATCACATTGTAGGATTTTTTATGATTTTATTTGCAAATTATGGTGGAAAATAAGTATTTGGTCACCTACAAACAAGCAAGATTTCTGGCTCTCACAGACCTGTAACTTCTTCTTTAAGGGGCTCCTCTGTCCTCCACTCGTTACCTGTATTAATGGCACCTGTTTGAACTTGTTATCAGTATAAAAGACACCTGTCCACAACCTCAAACAGTCACACTCCAAACTCCACTATGGCCAAGACCAAAGAGCTGTCAAAGGACACCAGAAACAAAATTGTAGACCTGCACCAGGCTGGGAAGACTGAATCTGCAATAGGTAAGCAGCTTGGTTTGAAGAAATCAACTGTGGGAGCAATTATTAGGAAATGGAAGACATACAAGACCACTGATAATCTCCCTCGATCTGGGGCTCCACGCAAAATCTCACCCCGTGGGGTCAAAATGATCACAAGAACGGTGAGCAGAAATCCCAGAACCACACGGGGGGACCTAGTGAATGACCTGCAGAGAGCTGGGACCAAAGTAACAAAGCCTACCATCAGTAACACACTACGCCGCCAGGGACTCAAATCCTGCAGTGCCAGACGTGTCCCCCTGCTTAAGCCAGTACATGTCCAGGCCCGTCTGACGTTTGCTAGAGTGCATTTGGATGATCCAGAAGAGGATTGGGAGAATGTCATATGGTCAGATGAAACCAAAATAGAACTTTTTGGTAAAAACTCAACTCGTCGTGTTTGGAGGACAAAGAATGCTGAGTTGCATCCAAAGAACACCATACCTACTGTGAAGCATGGGGGTGGAAACATCATGCTTTGGGGCTGTTTTTCTGGTACGACTGATCCGTGTAAAGGAAAGAATGAATGGGGCCATGTATCGTGAGATTTTGAGTGAAAACCTCCTTCCATCAGCAAGGGCATTGAAGATGAAACGTGGCTGGGTCTTTCAGCATGACAATGATCCCAAACACACCGCCCGGGCAACGAAGGAGTGGCTTCGTAAGAAGCATTTCAAGGTCCTGGAGTGGCCTAGCCAGTCTCCAGATCTCAACCCCATAGAAAATCTTTGGAGGGAGTTGAAAGTCCGTGTTGCCCAGCGACAGCCCCAAAACATCACTGCTCTAGAGGAGATCTGCATGGAGGAATGGGCCAAAATACCAGCAACAGTGTGTGAAAACCTTGTGAAGACTTACAGAAAACATTTGACCTGTGTCATTGCCAACAAAGGATATATAACAAAGTATTGAGAAACTTTTGTTATTGACCAAATACTTATTTTCCACCATAATTTGCAAATAAATTCATTAAAAATCCTACAATGTGATTTTCTGGAGAAAAAAAATCTCATTTTGTCTGTTATAGTTGACGTGTACCTATGATGAAAATGACAGGCCTCTCTCATCTTTTTAAGTGGGAGAACTTGCACAATTGGTGGCTGACTAAATACTTTTTTCCCCCACTGTATAGACAGAGGGAGGGAGATGTAGGCAGAGGGAGGGAGGGAGGGAGGGAGGGAGATGTAGACAGGGAGGGAGATGTAGACAGGGAGGGAGGGAGGGAGATATAGACAGGGAGGGAGATATAGACAGGGAGGGAGATATAGACGGGGAGGGAGATATAGACAGGGAGGGAGATATAGACAGGGAGGGAGATATAGACAGAGGGAGGGAGGGAGGGAGGGAGGGAGGGAGGGAGGGAGATATAGACAGGGAGGGAGATATAGACAAGGAGGGAGATATAGACAGGCAGAGGGAGGGAACTGACTTGCCACGTTGAAAGTCACTGAGCTCTTCAGTAAGGCCATTCTACTGCCAATCTTTGTCTATGGAAATTGCATGGATGTGTGCTCGATTTTATACACCTGTCAGCAACGGGTGTGGCTGAAATAGCCGAATCCACTCATTTGAAGGGGTGACCACATACTCTCTACATCTCCCTCTCTCTGTCCATCTCTCTCTATTTAGCTCTCCCTCCCTCTGTCCATATCCCCCTCCATCTACATCTCCCTCTGTCCATCTCTCTCTATTTAGCTCTGCCTCCCTCTGTCCATATCCCCCTCCATCTATATCTCCCTCTCTCTTTCTCCTACCTGTACAGGGACACAGAAGAGGAATGAGATCAGGTTCATGATGGAGAGGCCTGGGAGCAGCTGTCTCTCCAGGAACATGGTGGAGTGGTAGTGTTCAGGGTCCGGTGCGGTGGCGTTGTGCCGGTGAGACGTGCTGATCTGGTGGTCTACTATGATCATGTAGGTCATCATCCCCATGACTGGGACGCAGAAGAACAGGCTGACCAGGAACGACTTCCTCCATCTGGGAGAAGTGAGGGGTGAGAGAAAGAATGAGGTATGCAAATGGAGACAGACAGAGATACAGAGTAATATCGGTTAACCCAGAACTAAAGTATTGCGTAATTGGTCAGCTGCTCGATTAAGTTCTGGGTCCATACGTGTTAAGAGATGAATAGATTTGTCTAAATAACCCAAACAGCCTGTTATCCCACACCTCCCATCCCCTTCCATTACTGTGTGATCTCGCTGCTGTGGTCCAGGTGACTGCCTGTGCGATCCCTCTTCACCAGAGATGCCGCAAAGCCCAGGTTCTGATAAACAGACAAAATGAATGAATAAATACATCTAACTAGGCAAACTAACTGATATCACATTGTCATTTAAAGCAACAACCTGGGGAAGAATTGAAGGGCAGAGGAGAGGGTGTTGGATGACCAAATGAATGGACAAACAAACAAATGAATGAATGATTGAAAAAACAAAATTAAGTACCTTTATGAGTTTGATGACGTCTCTCGGTCCCGTCACCTCTGGGTCGTACTTGATGTGGGCTTTGTTGGTTGCCAGGGCAACAGAGGCGTAGACGATACCCTTCTCTTTCATCAGGCTGGACTCAATTTTGTGAACGCAGGAGGCACACGTCATTCCCCTGACCTGGAAAGAGGTGGAGGGGAGAATGTGCTATTAAAGAGGTACCAGTTAGGGAGGTGTAGACACACAGAGAGATATTTGATTATTGAAGAGGTAGCAGAGGCAGTGGTTTATGACAGTGGAAATATCACTAGCCCTATAAACATCATGATTGTGAGATTCATCCATAACACCAAAATCACACCATTACGGGGTGTGGTGAAGAGAATCAGAACACTCACCACCAGTTCCAGGCTTCCATCAGAACCCTCATAGTTCTCCATGACAGAAGCAGTGAAGCCCAACTCTCTGACATACTCTGCTATCTTCAGAGGGTCCATCACCTCAGGGTTATAACGCACCTCAGCCTTACTAGCCATCAGGGCCACCAGCACAGAGTAGATACCTGCACAGAAGAACGCAGGACAATGTAACATATCCATTTGATTCACCTTCCTACCAAACTGATAGATGAGGTTGATGCTCAAGGGAGACAACAGTAAATATAGAAGCCTTTACTAAAGGCCTGGGGTTTCCTGACCAGGTAAAAGTCCACATCCTTCATAATATCCTACATACGTTCCTCCCATGCTGCTTAAAAACAGCCATCGTAAATCTTACTGTTTATGACACTTTTCCGCACCCAGATACGACAGCTAGCTACTGTTAAGAACGGGTTCCATGGCAGAGTGTTCCTATTAAAACGTCACCATAGTTCCTATCAGTAGTTCGTATCGGGTTTGTGTTTTATTACGAAATAAAATCGGACTGAAACAGGTCGTAAAACGTTGCAAAATCGCATGCCCTAATGAACACAACCCTGATTCTCACATCTCCTCTCACCGTGTTCATTCTTCAGGTTCCTCTCAATGTTGGCCACACAGGACGCACAGGTCATTCCACCAATCTGGATGAAGCATTTAGCATTTAGGGTGTTCGGGGTCCTCTTAACCCCCTGTCCCCCGCCCCTCTCTGGGTCGCAGTCCAGCTCCTTGACAGGGGCGGGGGACAGGGAGGGGGACGAGGGGGGACTGATAACTGGGACGGTCACCAGGGAGTTGGTTTCTAAAAGGACAACATAGCAACAATGAGTTTCATATCCATTTCATGTCGGTTTCTCATTCTGCTTCTATGGCTGCTCTCTAGCTATTGTTCTGGGAAGCTTACATGAGTTACAAATAGAGAGAAATTCATTTGTTTTGCTTCACAGCACAGCTAGAGATATTATTAGGCTTAGGGTTGCTAAATTCCAGAACCTTCACCAGAGACAGAAATTCCTGTTGTAGGATTCCTAGAATCAGGAGGGAGGGAATCCTCTAACCAGGATCTCTGAAAAACCTGGGAATGTATGGAACGTTTGCTGAATTTTGAAACCCTAGTTAGGAGGATAAAATAATACAATCAGCCCATCAACTCACCAGGCAGGAAGGCATTAAATCCCATGTCCTCTATGGCCTCCCTGAGCTCTTCTGGTTGGGTGAGGAGAGGGTCGTACTCAAACGTCCCTCTGTGATTGGCCAACGACACCTTGGCTGACCGCACCCCCTTCCTCTGAGACAGCATCCCCTCTATGGACTGAACACAGGACCCACAGGTCATCCCCTCTATATGGATTAGGGCCGTGGCCGACAGGGGCTGGCTGTAGCAGGGCTGGGGGGAGGAGAGGCCGGCCTGGGACTGGGACAACGGTGGTGGTGGGGATGGTGAAGGTATAGGTGTTGTGGATGTGGATATAGGACTAAGACCTCCAGAAGTAGAGCTCCAGGGTTGGGTTTTAAACGTCCCCGGTGGCAGGGCCTCAATGGCTTGTTGTAGCCCAGACACAGTCACCCTCCCTGGGTCGTAGTGGATGGAGGCGCGCTCTCTCTCCAACAATACCTCTATGGAGGTCACCCCAGCCAGCTTGGAGATGTTCTCCTGGATGTTTACCACACAGGAGCGGCAGTGCATGCCCGTCACCCTGAGGGTAGTCAGGGCCGAGTCTGTGGAGGCCTCAGAATCCTCGGGGGAAGATTCCACCGGCTCTGGGGTTAATAAGGCAGCGCTTAGCAACCGCTCCATGGACAGCTGCAGGGGGCGGGGCTTGGACTTGGGTGTGGCCTTGAAGCCGGCCTTGGCGATCTGGGCGATGATGTCATCGATGGTGATGAGGTACGGCAGGTAGAGAACTGTGGCTTCCTGGGAGTCTAGAACCACTGGGGGGGAGAACACACAGGGGAAACATTTCTAATCTCCAAGAATCCTAGTATCACAGAGTGGTGAAGAAAGAAAAACAGGAGATTCTGAGATTGTTTCAAGATTATTCCTGACTGTTAAGTTAATGTTAAGTGAGAATGCTAGACTACTAAAACCTCCCATATTAATTCATTGCTATAGAATGCCAAGTCAGTTAAAGGCCCAGTGCAGTCAAAAACGTGATTTTCCTGTGTTTTATACAGTGGCTTGCAAAAGTATTCACCCCCCCTTGGCATTTTTCCTATTTTGTTTCCTTACAACCTGGAATTAAAATGGATTTTTTGGGGGGGTTTGTATCATTTGATTTACACAACATGCCTACCACTTTGAAGATGCAAAACAAGAAATAAGACAAAAAAAACAGAAAACTTGAGCGTGCATAACTATTCCCCCTTCACTGTGTGGATGGTGTTCTCGGGGTGATGAGAGGTGTTGGGTTTGCGCCAGACATAGCGTTTTCCTTGATGGCCAAAAAGCTAAATTTTTGTCTTATCTGACCAGAGTACCTTCTTCCATATGTTTGGGGAGTCTCCCACATGGCTTTTGGCGAACACCAAATGTGTTTGCTTATTATTTTCTTTAAGCAATGGCTTTTTTCTGGCCACTCTTCCGTAAAGCCCAGCTCTGTGGAATGTACGGCTTAAAGTGGTCCTATGGACAGATACTCCAATCTCCGCTGTGGAGCTTTGCAGCTCCTTCAGGGTTATCTTTCGTCTCTTTGTTGCCTCTCTGATGAATGCCCTCCTTGCCTGGTCAGTGAGTTTTGGTGGGCGGCCATCTCTTGGCAGGTTTGTTGTGGTGCCATATTCTTTCAATTTTTTAATAATGGATTTAATGGTGCTCCGTGGGATGTTCAAAGTTTCGGATATTTTTTATAACCCAACCCTGATCTGTACTTCTCCACAACTTTGTCCCTGACCTGTTTGGAGAGCTCCTTGGTCTTCATGGTGCCCCTTGCTTAGTGGTGTTGCAGACTCTGGGGCCTTTCAGAACAGGTGTATATATACTGAGATCATGTGACAGATCATGTGACACTTAGATTGCACACAGGTGGACTTTATTTAACTAATTATGTGACTTCTGAATGTAATTGGTTGCACCAGATCTTATTTAGGGGCTTCATAGGGTCAATACACATGCACGCACCACTTTTCCGTTATTTATTTTGTATAATGTTTTGAAACAAGTTATTTTTTTCATTTCACTTCACCAATTTGGACTATTTTGTGTATGTCCATTACATGAAATACAAATACAAATCCATTTAAATTACAGGTTGTAATGCAACAAAACAGGAAAAACACCAAGAGGGATGAATACTTTTGCAAGGCACTGTATACAGTACCAGTCAAAAGTTTGGACACACCTACTCATTCAAGGGTTTTTCTTTATTTTTACTATTTTCTACATTGTAGAATAATAGTGAAGACATCAAAATTATGAAATAACACATATGTAATCATGTAGTAACCAAAAAAGTGTAAAACAAATCAAAATATATGTTATATTTAAGATTCTTCAAATAGCCACCCTTTGCCTTGATGACAGCTTTGCACACTCTTGGCATTCTCTCAACCAGCTTCATGAGGTAGTCACCTGGAATGCATTTCAATTAACAGGTGTGCCTTCTTAAAAGTTTATTTGTGGAATTTATTTCCTTCTTAATGCATTTGAGCCAATCAGTTATGGCAAGAACTGCTCAAATAAGAAAAGAGAAACGACAGTCCATCATTACTTTAAGACATGGTCAGTCAATACGGAAAATTTCAAGAACTTAACGTTTCTTCAAGTGCAGTCGCAAAAACCATCAAGCGCTATGATGAAACTGGCTCTCATGAGGACCTGCACAAGGCTGGGATGGGCTACAGGACAATAGGCAAGCAGCTTGGTGAGAAGGCAACAACTGTTGGTGCAATTATTAGAAAATGGAAGAAGTTCAAGATGACGGTCAATCACCCTCGGTCTGGGGCTCCATGCAAGATCTCACCTCGTGGGGCATCAATGATCATGAGGAAGGTGAGGGATCAGTCCAGAACTACACGGCAGGACCTGGTCAATGACCTGAAGAGAGCTGGGACCACAGTCTCAAAGAAAACCATTAGTAACACACTACGCCGTCATGTATTAAAATCCTGCAGGTTTTCTTTGTACTCAAGCCAGCGCATGTCCAGGCCCGTCTGAAGTTTGCCAATGACCATCTGGATGATCCAGAGGAGGAATGGGAGAAGGTCATGTGGTCTGATGAGACAAAAATATAGCTTTTTGGTCTAAACTCCACTCGCCGTGTTTGGAGGAAGAAGGATGAGTACAACCCCAAGAACACCATCCCAACCGTGAAGCATGGAGGTGGAAACATCATTCTTTGGGGATGCTTTTCTGCAAAGGGGACAGGACGACTGCACCGTACTGAGGGGAGGATGGATGGGGCCATGTATCGCGAGATCTTGGCCAACAACCTTGGCTCCGTGGCTCCGTAAGAAGCATCTCAAGGTCCTGGAGTGGCCTAGCCAGTCTCCAGACCTGAACCCAATAGAACATCTTTGGAGGGAGCTGAAAGTCTGTATTGCCCAGCGACAGCCCCGAAACCTGAAGGATCTGGAGAAGGTCTGTATGGAGGAGTGGGCCAAAATCCCTGATGCAGTGTGTGCAAACCTGGTCAAGACCTACAGGAAATGTATGATCTCTGTAATTGTAAACAAAGGTTTCTGTACCAAATATTAAGTTCTGCTTTTCTGATGTATCAAATACTTATGTCATGCAATAAAATGCAAATTAATTACTTAAAAATCATACAATGTGATTTTCAGGATTTTTGTTTTAGATTCAGTCTCTCACAGTTGAAGTGTACCTATGATAAAAAATTACAGACCTCTACATGCTTTGTAAGTAGGAAAACCTGCAAAATCAGCAGTGTATCAAATACTTGTTCTCCCCACTGTACATCTCAACATCAACTGTTCAGAGGAGACTGTGTGAATCAGGCCTTTATGGGTGAATTGCTGCAAAGAAACCACTACTAAAGGACACCAATAAGAAGATACTTTCTTGGGCCAAGAAACACGAGCAATGGACATTAGACCGGTGGAAATTTGTCCTTTCGTCTGATATGTCCAAATGTGAGATTTTTGGTTCCAACCGCCGTGTCTTTGTAAGACGCAGAGTAGGTGAACGAATGATCACTGCATCTGTGGTTCACACCGTGAAGCATGGAGGAGGAGCTGTTATGGTGTAGGGGTGCTTTGCTGGTGACACTGTCTGTGATTTATTTAGAATTCAAGGCACACTTAACCAACATGGCTACCACAGCATTCTGCAGTAATACGCCATCCAATCTGATTTGCGCTTAATGGGACTATAATTTGTTTTCAACAGGACAATGACCCAACACTCCTCCAGGCTGTGTAAGGGCTATTTGACCAAGAAGGAGAGTGATGGAGTGCTGAATCAGATGACCTGGCCTCCACAATCAATCGACCTCAACCCAATTGAGATGGTTTGGGATGAGTTGGACCGCAGAGTGAAGGAAAAGCAGCCAACAAGTGCTCAGCATATGTGGGAACTCCTTCAAGACTGTTGGAAAAGCATTCCAGGTAAAGCTGGTTGAGAGAATGCCAAGAGTGTGCAAAGCTGTCATCAAAGCAAAGGGTGGCTACTTTGAAGATTCTAAAATATAAAATATATTTTGATTTGTTTAACACTTTTTTGGTTACTACATGATTCCATATGTGTCATTTCATAGTTTTGATGTCTTCACTATTATTCTACAATGTAAAAATAAAGAAAAACCCTTGAATGAGTAGGTGTGTCCAAACTTTTGACTGGTACTGTATATTTCCACACTATGAGGTTGGAATAATACTGTGAAATTGTGAAAAGAGCTGTTTGAAAAGGCCGCCTTTCTGCCTGTTTTGGTGGGAAGGAATTTTGGACTGCCTGGTGACATCACTAGGTGGTAAATTTGTTAATAGACCAATAAGAAAGAGTTCCAAACCTCTCTGCCAATAACAGCTAGTTTTCAGTTTCCCCCTCCTCACTCAGACCACTCCCAGACAGTTCTAACAAAAATCATGCTTGAGAAATTGCTCTTTGTTAAGAAGCTATTTTTGTTTCTTTTTGACCATTTAAATTGAAAACAATCACAGTAAGGTACTTCATTGTTACCCAGAAATGATTTGATATTGAGATAAAAGACGGCTGCATTGGACCTGTAACCAGGTCAGCACTACACTTGGTCAGAACTCAATGAGTCACAATCAAATGATAATGACTACTACGCAATACTAAGTCACCTTTGATTTTCTCAACTCCTTTGAGTTTGCCAATCTTCCCTTCGATGGTGGTGGTGCAGGACAGACAGACCATGCCTTCGATGCGCATCTTCACCAACTGAGGCTGTGAGGATGTGGCTGGGGCTGACACTGTGACTGTGGCTGGGACAGGGGCTGACACTGTGACTGGGGCTGGGACAGGGGCTGACACTGTGACTGTGGCTGGGACAGGGGCTGACACTGTGGCAGGGGCTGGGACTGAGGCTAGGGTTTCCTTTGTAGCACTACTGGATGTAGCGGCCTCCAGGAGGGGGACCAAGCTACTAACCACCTCCCCCAGCTGCAGTGCACCGATCAGGGTAGGGATGAAGGTAACGGACACCCCCCTCTGGTCCTTGTTCTCCTGGACCTCCAGGACCCCCTGGAGCTGAGCAAGCCTGGCCAGAGCCTCCTGTTGGGCCTCGGGAGTGAGAAGGGCTGGGGTGGGGACCAGCTGGGTGTCCGTGGGGACCGCGGAGACTGTGGTAGAGTCTGAGAGGATGGAGTCAAACCCCATGTCCTCGATGGCCTCCGCCAGGGACTCTGGGGTGTGACGGCTGTGGTCGAAGATGATGCTGGCATTCTTCAGCTCCAGAGACACCTATCAGAAAATATGTATGTCAAACAAACGGGGAATAATTAAAACACTTAATACTGTATCAACAGAAGCGACAGTGTAATTCCAATGTACAGTAATGCAGTTTCTAAAACAAGGCCTTGAAACTAAACAGAATTATATGGCTGTTCTAAAACTATGCCATGGAGACGTGCAGTCATTCATAGCCATGGAATTGTCATGTCATGGTTACGACGTAAATCAGCACGATTCTGAGATTCACGACATGGGCAGTAATCACGTACACTGAGAGGGTTACTACACAGTTACTAAGCAACGATCAATAGGACATCAAATCTATTCCACATAAACAAGTAGTCTGAAGATAATCCTTGTGCACACAATGGATAAAGCCAAACTCCAGACCCCAGGTTATAGCCTACAACCAGGGGCCGTTTTTTTTTCCATGGTCGGGTCACATGATCAGGAAGAACGCCAGGCATAGCGTTCCAGGAAAGAGTGACCTGACAGAGACACATGGACATACACCTCAGCTTACACAACAGGCTTATTATCCGATCAATGACGTTGTACAATGTATATATACAGGAGAGGAGTGCATTGGCCTCGGAAGCTTCCGGCATGTTCTAGTAGCAATATAATGAACCTATTGCTCTCTCTATCACACTGTCTCTCTAACACACACACACACACACACACACACAGGGAAACTTGTGATTAACTGACGCACATCACCTGACCACTCAGCCCTGACTGAACTGCAAGTTAAAAAACACAGGAGGGGAAGTGTGTGTGCACGTGCCAGATATTATCTATGTTTTCCTAGGTGTGTGTGTCAGGGAGAGCGAGAGTGAAAGTGAGAGAGAGAGACTGTCCTTTCCTAATACAGTTTCCTTTAACTTTGACACTAGTTTAAAAAAAAAAGAAAGATCCTATAGACCTAAAGTCCACGTGCAACAGAAATCTATTCTACCTTAAAGAAAGGCCATGTACCGTTCTTTACAATAACGTCCCCCTTTAAGGAATTAATTAATGGGCTCCCGAGTGGCGCAGCGGTCTAAGGCCGTGATTGGCCCAGTGTCGTCCTGGTTTGGTCGGTGTAGGCCGTCATTGTAAATAAGAATTTGTTCTTAACGGACTTGCCTGGTTAAATAAAGGTTAAATAAATTAAAAATTAAAAATGACATGTCCCATCCGCCGTCTGCTACCCTCCAGCCAGTTATCGACCCACAATGACAGTCCTGTAAAGACCAGCTCTCTGTCAGGAACAACACCATTACATTATATCCTCACTTCACTTGTGCCTGAGGGGTAAACACACAGAGAGAAGGCCACATTTACTGCCATCTAGAACGTTCCTAAAGCTGCTACACGGAATTACGGATCACTGTTTATCTTCAATTAAGCTATATAAACCAGCCATCCCCTGAGGGGAGAGGAGGAGGAGGAGGCTGGGGTTGCATCCCAAATGGCACCCTTTTCCCTAAATAGTCGAACCTATGGGCCCTGGTTAAAAGTAGTGCATTATGTAGGGAATAGGGTGCCATTTGGGACGTACCCTGGAAATTAGCCTGGATATTGAGTTGGGTGACATTTGTCAAATGAAATTAAAATGAAGGTTGGTAACAGATAAATGGGAAGTGTTTTTGCTGCTTTCTCAATTCTAACTAGTTAGTTTCACATCTAGTTTTTTTTTTTTTTTTTTAAAGCAAACTCAGTTATTTTAAATCTCTGGAAATTGTGCAATGGTGTCAAGTCTATGTTGGAAATGCAGACTTGGCAGTTTGAAGACATTCTGTTCGAAAGTTCAAAAGGTGACATTAATGAACACAAAGGTTTAAGGGTGAAAACATCATTCAGATCCTTTAAAATCAATTGGATGTGTAGGATATAGCCTAACACATTTCTGTGTTACACAGTAAAGTTGTTATACACCTGTTAAACATACTGGGCCAGTTTCCCGGGCCCAGACTGCGCCTAGTCCTGGACTAAAAATCATGCTGACTAGAGTCCCTATATGTGTCCCGGACCCACCTTGATGTGTACGACTCCAGGCAGACCCCCAATTCGCTGCTCTATAGACTGAACACAGGAACCACAGGTCATCCCCTCCACACCCAGACATACTGAGCTCAGCTTGACCTTCAGCGTCATGGTGAGTCCTTAGTCTGGGAACCAACAAGGAGATAGCATGGTTAAACAAAGCTCAGCTTGACCTTCGGCGTCATGGTGAGTCCTTAGTCTGGGAACCAACAAGGAGATAGCATGGTTAAACAAAGCTCAGCTTGACCTTCGGCGTCATGGTGAGTCCTTAGTCTGGGAACCAACAAGGAGATAGCATGGTTAAACAAAGCTCAGCTTGACCTTCGGCGTCATGGTGAGTCCTTAGTCTGGGAACCAACAAGGAGATAGCATGGTTAAACAAAGCTCAGCTTGACCTTCAGCGTCATGGTGAGTCCTTAGTCTGGGAACCAACAAGGAGATAGCATGGTTAAACAAAGCTCAGCTTGACCTTCAGCGTCATGGTGAGTCCTTAGTCTGGGAACCAACAAGGAGATAGCATGGTTAAACAAAGCTCAGCTTGACCTTCAGCGTCATGGTGAGTCCTTAGTCTGGGAACCAACAAGGAGATAGCATGGTTAAACAAAGCTCAGCTTGACCTTCAGCGTCATGGTGAGTCCTTAGTCTGGGAACCAACAAGGAGATAGCATGGTTAAACAAAGCTCAGCTTGACCTTCAGCGTCATGGTGAGTCCTTAGTCTGGGAACCAACAAGGAGATAGCATGGTTAAACAAAGCTCAGCTTGACCTTCGGCGTCATGGTGAGTCCTTAGTCTGGGAACCAACAAGGAGATAGCATGGTTAAACAAAGCTCAGCTTGACCTTCGGCGTCATGGTGAGTCCTTAGTCTGGGAACCAACAAGGAGATAGCATGGTTAAACAAAGCTCAGCTTGACCTTCAGCGTCATGGTGAGTCCTTAGTCTGGGAACCAACAAGGAGATAGCATGGTTAAACAAAGCTCAGCTTGACCTTCAGCGTCATGGTGAGTCCTTAGTCTGGGAACCAACAAGGAGATAGCATGGTTAAACAAAGCTCAGCTTGACCTTCGGCGTCATGGTGAGTCCTTAGTCTGGGAACCGACAAGGAGATAGCATGGTTAAACAAAGCTCAGCTTGACCTTCAGCGTCATGGTGAGTCCTTAGTCTGGGAACCAACAAGGAGATAGCATGGTTAAAAAGAAAATAGTTCACATTCCAGAAAGCAAACAAGAAGGTCAGAAGCTAGACTATTTCTGAGCGCATGACAAGGATCTCGTTTCCCACGGCAAGAGAGTAAACAGAAAGAAATCAGGCCAGTAAATATGACATTAGGGCTGACCCCATTTAGTGGACTGGTCCATTGTTTGGTCGATAGGCTGTCGGTCGATGGGCTGTCGGTCGGTGGGCTGTCGGTCGGTGGGCTGTTGGTCGACCAAGATTTCTTTAGACGAGCAGTAGCAAAATAATAATAAAAGATCCTGGTGTACAAGACCCCTGTCTGATTGGCTCCTGTCTGACTGGCTCCTGTCTGATTGGCTCCTGTCTGACTGGACTGATCCATCCGTCTAAGACGTGCTACTGAACATTTATATGGTTATATGACATATATTATTTTATAACAAATGCGTTTTCTCCTGCGTTGGATAGCGGTCTCTGTCCGCGGTTCTGTAACACATCAGTGGGCTGTTAAATTGGCGCCTTTTCCTAGACTATGTTGCTATGTGAATAATAGCAAAGTTAACCAAAATAAAGCGACACTTGAATAATTAGCGTAAACAATAAATAAACCGTTCCATTTCGTAAATTGCATTCACAAATGACTGTTTTTAGTCTTTGCTGTAATAAAGGCTTTACCAAAAAATGTTACAGACTCTCTGGTACGCTTATAACTTATTTAGTGTTGCTTACATTATTCCAAACGGTCAGAAAGATTATATTGTAATCGAACAGCACCTGTTTGGCACACATAATATGACGCAGCGCTTCTCCTTACATTATTTTTCTTGATCTCCAGTATTTTTCCACAACTAGTCACATTTATTCCACACATCTGACTTCCCCTTTACCTCCTGAGCAACCAGTAAACACATTCCCCCGTTTCGAGTTGATTTGACACATCCTCTGCCTCCATTTTGCTTTCACACGTGTCACGGTGTTCGGAGTTTGTTACAACCAATTTATTATGATACCCATTGGTCACAGTCACGAATACATACATGTGTCACCTATAGAGAGCAAGGGTTGAGGGAACGTTTTTTCCTAAACAAATGAGGGATTTCCGTAACAGAACTTGTCTGTAATTATGTTGCAGATTCAGCCAACACGGACAGCGCGATAAACCCTGTTGATGTTTCAATGGTGGCCGCTGAAGCAGGGAGGAGAGAGAGAGTCACCGGGTCAAACAGTCACTGGCTGTCTTTTTTTTTTTTTTTTTTTAACACAGTCTGAGCCCAGCCCTGCACAATCAAGTCAATTGCGGTCGTACTCCCTCTAGTCATTTGTGTGTTTGTAATTATTTACAAACAATGCACTTAAAGCATCAGACTAACTCAGCGCATATCGTTGATTTGATTAAAACACATAGGATGTGTCTATACATGGGGAAAAAAATGCACGTTTTAACATTTCGATCAATCGATTGGTCGAAAGAGCAGAAGACTCTTGCTCGACCAAGATGTTGTTGTTGTTGTCGGGGACAGCCCTATATTCCATTGCTGTCATACAATCCAAGATAAGGATTGGTCAATGGGCTGAGGTGCAGTAGCCCCTATCTCAATAAATCATTAGATCCTAAACTAAAATGTTAGCTCTATTTCCTACATGTCATTCAGAGACTATTTCATACCCCTCCTTCCTAGCTAACATCCCATATATCTCCATCATACTCTGAGAAGTACGAAGAAATGTTTTATTTACTAAATCTATCTGATCCATACGTTTCTCACTTAGCTACTTACCTATCAGCTTCGTATATCTCCGAAAAGAAATCTGCACTACTGCAGGTTTTGAGGATCAATCCATATTGTACAGTAGCTATCGAATACCAGGCCAAACAGAACGCATTGGATCTCCACAAAATCTTTGCTTATCCCTTGGATGGAGATACAGCAACAAGTCGAAAATATGTTCCCTGCTGCTCTTCCTGCTCAAGAGCAACTGACAGTGACGGTAGAAGAGGAGGGACTTTTCCTTGCTTGGACAGTAGACAGGAAGGGGCTACATCATTGTGTGGCAGGGCATCTGATTTGATCATGCCCCTGCCCCTCCACTTGCCATGAATGACTTCAAGGAACCAAAAGAGAATAGTCCACCAGAAGCTAAATAAAAATCTATTTCATCTTACTCTGCCGTGTCATTTCAGCAAGCCATGACACCCACCATTTCAGATTGTTCTAAAATCATTTCTGTAGTTAGAAAGATTAGCATTCCTAAAACATTTTGTTGACATATTGTTAGGAAGAAGTAACGGTCCCAATTGGATGTTAGGTACTATATTTATACTTTATTATATGAAACCTATAAATTAAAATGGCCAATTTGGGTGCAATCAAATAGCTTAATTACTCAGAGATCAAATCATATCAACAAAATAATGCGTCAGGAATACTAATCTTATCTTTCTAACTACAGAAGCGATTTCAGAACAATCTGAGATGGTGGGTGTCGAAATCCGTTTTGAGGTGGAATGACTCCGGGGGAGAAACTGAGAAAAAACATCTTAATAGAACATAAATTAAACAGACTTCCCAAACGTGGGTCTATTGTAAACCCTGTAACAACGGTAAAGGTAATAACACCGGAAATGTCATAACTTTTCTATTTGTAATAACTTATGTAGTAATAAGCCTGGTAAATGCAATAACTTGGCAGTAAACGTAATAAAAAGTTTAATGTAAACGTAATAACCTTTTTCCGCTAAATGTAATAAGTTATTACATTAACCGGTGGTTATTACATTATCCGGTGAGTAACTGTCACGACTTCCGCCGAGGCTGCCTCCCCTCCTTGTTCGGGCAGGTTTCGGCGTTACCGGCTTACTAGCTACTGCCGATCCATTTATCATCACTCCATTTGTCTTGTCTTCAAATCACACACACCTGCTCCTTATTCCCTCATTAGTCATGGTATAAGTGTTCCCTCTGCTTCCTTGTCTGTGTGGGTGATTGTTTATTGTGGAGGTTAGTGAAGCTCGGTGGAGCTCGTGTATTGTGTATCGACGGGAGTATTTTTCCAGTGTGCCTTGTATTTTCCAGTGCGCCTGTTTTGTGCCCTAGAGTGTGTTTAACGCATTTCTGCGTAAACCTGTATTTTGCGGATTAAAGCCTGTTATTCTGTGATTTACCCTCCTGCGCCTGACTTCTTCATCACCACCTCATCACAGTAACAACTTTATGAATAATATAATTTCTTCAACCAATCATATACTAACATACCAGCTTATGTGTAAGCATTAGCACAAGGAGCTTACACAAATCTGTAGGTCTCAGATATCTTTAATTACACCTTCATCACTTTTCAGGTGCCAGCCCCTACTGCCTTTCAGGTTCCCTCCCCTACTGCCTTTCAGGTGCCAGCCCCTACTGCCTTTCAGGTTCCCTCCTCTACTGCCTTTAAGAAGCTATCCCCACTGCCTTTCAGGTTCTATCCCCTACTGCCTTTCAGGTTCCCTCCCCTACTGCCTTTCAGGTTCCCTCCCCTACTGCCTTTCAGGTTCCCTCCCCTACTGCCTTTCAGGTTCCCTCCCCTACTGCCTTTCAGGTTCTATCCCCTACTGCCTTTCAGGTTCTATCCCCTACTGCCTTTCAGGTTCCCTCCCCTACTGCCTTTCAGGTTCTATCCCCTACTGCCTTTCAGGTTCCCTCCCCTACTGCCTTTCAGGTTCCCTCCCCTACTGCCTTTCAGGTTCTATCCCCTACTGCCTTTCAGGTTCCAGCCCCTACTGCCTTTCAGGTTCTAGCCCCTACTGCCTTTCAGGTGCCAGCCCCTACTGCCTTTCAGGTGCCAGCCCCTACTGCCTTGGTGGCCATGAGTAAGGCACTTTGCCCATTAACTGCTACAAGGGCAAGGCTGACCCTGTTCTGCTCCAAGCCTGTTCTGTGTTTAGTGTGTCCAAGGATTGTGTACGGTGACAACAAAAAACATGTTTCCATTATACAATATAGTTATTTTGAAATAAAATGTCGCCACTGTATGTGTTATTTTGTCACGTGTGTTCCTGTGACTGTATGCGTGTGTTATTAATACAACATCAATCTGTTTTCATTACAGTATTACAAGTTATTTTATGGTACAACTATCTGGTTGGATTGAGCTGGTGTTACTGAGTGGGTTAGTTATGCACAGTAAAAGACAGAGCCTCTGCTGAGCTGAAGCCAAGGTGTTAGCTTGTGGCGCTAATGCCAGTCTTCTGGTTCCAGGCAAGTTTAGTCAACATGTTAAAATGACACCAATTGCCCTGGTGCCATCCAGATCTGTCATACAGATCCTTTGAGTGTTGGCTTGAGCCTGAATGGAATGCCAGATTGATGGGTTTTGCACCTTTGGGACTATTCCATGTCCATCAAAATGAGGGACATACTACATCAAAACATTGATTTTGGTATGTTATTATATGAATGGTTTAAGTTATGTTATTCATCAAAAGAGTTGGTACACACCACCGGAGTAATAACCACCGGATAACATAATAATAAGCTTGATTAATAATAATAATACTCAAGTAAAGTGTTACGTGTGTGTGTGAATACATTTCAAATGTGTGCTTGTGAGTGTCTCTAATGTATGTATGTGTATTACTGTATGATGGACATGAGTTTGTTTGTCTTGTAACTGGCAGTAGGTGGCGGTGTTTGTAACTGGCAGTAGGTGAAGGTGTTTGTAACTGGCAGTAGGTGGCAGTGTTTGTAACTGGCAGTAGGTGGCGGTGTTTGTAACTGGCAGTAGGTGAGGGTGTTTGTAACTGGCAGTAGGTGGGGGTGTTTGTAACTGGCAGTAGGTGGCGGTGTTTGTAACTGGCAGTAGGTGGCGGTGTTTGTAACTGGCAGTAGGTGGAGGTGTTTGTAACTGGCAGTAGGTGGCGGTGTTTGTAACTGGCAGTAGGTGGAGGTGTTTGTAACTGGCAGTAGGTGGAGGTGTTTGTAACTGGCAGTAGGTGGCGGTGTTTGTAACTGGCAGTAGGTGGCGGTGTTTGTAACTGGCAGTAGGTGGCGGTGTTTGTAACTGGCGGTGTTTGTAACTGGCAGTAGGTGGCAGTGTTTGTAACTGGCAGTAGGTGGCGGTGTTTGTAACTGGCAGTAGGTGGCTGTGTTTGTAACTGGCAGTAGGTAGCGGTGTTTGTAACTGGCAGTAGGTGGCGGTGTTT